TGGTCACTCCAGGGAGGGGGACTCTTTTTCAATCTATCATGGAGAGGTTTACAAAGAAGATTGATGTTGGGATAAAAGTCAAGGACATAGTTTAAACTACCCAGGAACCGTTGTAATTGATTTTTGTCTAAAATTTGATCAGGAAATTTATCTGCAAATTGAAGCGATCATTCGATTGGAACAATTGTTCATTGACTAATGTAGTGACCCAAAAAATGTATCTTAGTTTGAAAAAGACAAAGTTTTGGTTTAGAGACAGCCAGACCGTTACGTCGAGTGACTTCAAGAAATAGATTAAGATGTTTGAAATGTTGGTCAATGGACGAAGAAAAAATCAGCACATCATCAATATAAACTATTATGAAATCAAAATAAGGAGAGTAGATTTGATTCATAATTCTTTGAAATTCTAAGGGAGCATTTTTCAAGCCAAACGGCATGACGTTCCATTCATATTGGCCAAAGGGAACGGTAAAAGCAGTTTTATAGCGGTTTGTTTCTTTGATTTGGATTTGCCAAAATCCGGATTTCATGTCAAATTTAGAAAATATTAGGGACTGTGAAAGTTTCTAGAGTAGATCCTTTTGGTTGGGGATAGGATACCTAATCCATTTCAGAGCCTTATTCAACGGTTTGTAGTTTATAATAGCTTGGGTAAATCCCAATCCAACTGCCTTGTACAAGACGAGGAACGCCACGTTCCTTTTCTGCATTATTAATGACATAGAAAGCAGAACAACTCCAAGGGGATTGGCTAGATCTGATAAGGCCCTTTTTTAGCAATTCTTTAATTTCTTGTCGACAATGTTTTTCAAGGTCCGAATTCATTTGGATAGGCCTAGCCTTGGTGGGAATGAGATTTCCATTGAAATCTTTTTCCGTAAGAAAGATCAACCTGATGTTGTTTTTTATGCCCAAAAGCATTGGGTGTATCAGCACAAATAGAGCTTTCAATGTGCTATTTTAAAGAGTTGATTCGTTTTTGCAAAAGGGGTTGAGAAAGCTGTTGTAAGATTCGCTGAAAATGTATCTCATCATGCAAATAAGATATTTGATTAGTTTTACAACGAATTATATGGTGTATATATTTTATAGAAGAACGTCGTAAAACATTTAGGTTTCGAACTTTTGGTTTTTGGAGAAATGAGAATTCAACATTGTTGCCTAACACAACAGTGTTAATTCCTTGGTCGGTGACAGTAAAAGGTTTTAGAAGATTTAGAAAAGGTGTCCCTAAGATCACCTTTTGTTGCATGTCACGAACTAGGATAAAAAGAGTTTTGAATTCAACATTTTGATGACAAATTAAAGCATTAGAAAGTTTATATTGTATTTGAAGAGGTTGAGAGTTAGCGGTAGATAGACGCTCGAGGGTCTTTTCATAGTACTTAGTTGGAATTAATCCTTCTTGGATGCAGTTCATGTCTGCTCTTGTATCAAGAAGGGGTACTGTGCTTAAAGTAAAATCAGAAGAAACCTGAATATTAATGATAACATACCATTTTTGGGTGGTAATGGTAGATAAAAAACATAGAAAATCGTCTTCAGTTAGCATTTCCTCTGTTTCTAAACTGTTGGTTGCATGAGGAGTTTCATCGAAAAAGTTGTCGGGGCTAGATGTTGATGGCTCTTCTAAAGGTTTGAGAGCTATTAAAGTTTGTAATATCTCATGATCACTATTTTGTAACTGTCGTAATTGTTGAATTTCTTTCTTAACAATATCCAATTCCTTTTGGAAGTCAGGAATAGAAGGATTGTGGGAATCGTTATCAATATGTCGAGAAAGGATATCTTTGACACTATACGTCGAACCTTGATGAAAGGGATTGGTAGGTGGAATAGTCACATGAGGTTTCTCCATGTGCTCATGAAGCTTTTTGAAATATTATTCTTTGAGATGAGGATTATCAATATTATTGATTAGATCTAAGATAAGCTCTTGATCTTTGGTTAAAACATTCATAGAAGATTCAGAACTTTCATCGATGTCATCAAATTGTAAGGCCTGAAGATTCTCATCATCATCATCAGAAGAAGAAGAATCCTCATGAGAAGAGTAGTGTTGGAGAAAAATATTATTGATTTTGTCATCAATATCTTCATCAATATTAAGCTCATTAAGCTTCTTTTTTATACGACAATATTTGGAGATATGACCTGTTTTTCCACAACGAAAACAAGTAATGTTTTTATTTTCATTGTTAGATCATGGTCCCTTATCTTGGCGGGGATTCCTAGAGAAATGGGATTTTTGATTCGTGGTTTTAAAAGATTGGTAGGGACGATCGCGATGTCTTTGATGAGGTTTGGTGCTACAATCTTCACAGTTAGATTTGGAAGAAATTTTTGAATAAGATTCATCAAACTGAGCACAAAAAGATCCTAGTTCTTTTCGAGTTAGTTTTTGTTCGTGTTTGATTTGTTTTTGAAGTTTTAAATCATGGCAAATTTGTAATCCTTCTTTTCGTATAAAGCTAATAAGTTCTCCGTAAGTAAGTTGCTCATAAGGAATTTGACCATTAAAAGTGTCTTGGATTTTGTTTCGGATTTTATCTCCTAAGAGACGGGGTAAACCTGCTAAAAACCTTTCTTTCCAAAACGGTTGATTACCATCTTCTCTTTGCATAACCCTAGTTAAAAAGGTATCTTTGTACCATCGGAAGTCATGAAACTTTTTACAACGAAGATTAGAAAGTAGTACGCCATTTTTATCTTTAAGATGTGAAGAATCTCCAATAAAATGTTTTGAAATGGCAAAAATCAGGGATGCAACTGCATCTTGAGAAGATTGATTATTGGAGTCTAAAATAGGAGTTCGAGAAGAGACACATTTGACAGCTGTAAAAATAGTTCTCTGGTCTTCCATGGTTAAGATATTATCCCACCAACCCTTTAATTGACTAGCAAAGCCGGCTATAAGTAGTTCAGCTATAGCGTAATCAGAAGTTTGATTTTGAGTTTTGTAAGCATTAACTACCATGGTCATTTGTTGAAGAAGGTTCAAAATTTGATATTCTGAAAATCCATCAAGATTCCATTCATAAATAGAATTGTAGTTGTATTTATTTTGGATAATGGTGGGTTTCTCTTCGAGAGCTAAATCAGGTGTTGTGGGACGTGGGTAATACATCTTAGATGCAGAGGGTTGGTTCCATCGGAGACGATTGATTTCTGTTTCAATATGACCTTCTATATCTTGAATTACTTCGGCTGAGTCATCGACGATTTGATCCTCGTTGCTCGTGGATTTTGAGTCTGAAATATAAGGAGTCTTAGAAGTGGATAGTTATGTAGAAAGTTGTTTAAGACGTTTTTCTATTTCAAGCTTAAATTCAAGACTAGATTCTTTAGAAACTTCAAAAGGTTTGAAAATGGGGGAATTAAGTTTATTGGAAGGAGGAATAGGAGTATTTGAAGTAGATGCAAAAGACAGAGGTAAACTGATTTCAACATTAGTAAGTTGATCTCCTAAAGTCTGGAGAAATCGTTTGGTATAATTGTTTTGTTCAATCAGACGTCGAATATCTTCTCCTTTGACATGGTCACTATTTTCTCGTTTTAATTTAAAAGGAGAGGCTTGAACTGTTGTTCCATAATAAGAAAAATTAACAGGAGCATTAGGGGGGATGAATAGATTGGATCTTAGAGTTATTAGTAGTTAACCAAGTCATAGGCTTGGTTTGAATATTTATCGAAGATTGAGAACAGACTTATTCGAACCAATTAAAGAAAGAATGGTGTTCTCGTATATTATTGAGATAATCATAGAAAGAGTTTTGTATAAGTACACGTTCTTCTTTAGAGTAATCAATAAAAAATTGCTCGCGTTTAAAACGGTTTTGTTGGGAATAGAAATCATGGCGAAGAAATTATTTGTTGATTTTGAACTCTTGTGTAATGACATCAAGAGCAGAAGGGATTTCTTCTTCACGAAACGCAGCTTGTGAGGCAGTAGGAGACATCTTTGGTGTTCTCGAGGTATTTATATTTGGAAAAGGACACTACAACAAACTGTACTTTCTGCGACGAATTCTATTGCGACGGAAAGATATTCGTCGCAAAAAGTGTACAATTTGCGACGAATTATATTGTTTCGTCGCAAATCAGGACAATATTCAACCGCAAATCGGCAGAGGCTTTTCCGACGAATATTTAAGTTTTTGCGACGAACATAATCGTCGCCGAATATTTGAAGGTTTTTGGCGACGATTCATTGTCGTCGCAGAATGTTTTGAAACCTTTTACGACGACTGACTTTCGTCGCGGAATGTTTCGTAACCTTTGCGACGAGTTACTGTCGTCGCAGAATGTTTTGAAACCTTTTACGACGACTGACTTTCGTCGCGGAATGTTTCGTAACCTTTGCGACGAGTTATTGTCGTCGCAGAATGTATTGAAACCTTTTGCGACGATTATCCTTCGTCGCGGAAAATTTCATACCCTTTTGCGACGAGTTGCTTTCATCACGGACTGTCTGGAAACATTTAGTAGAACAAAATTAATCTAACATAAAATTTCTTTTATTTTTAAAATTTCGTAATAAGAATATACGAAAGGTACATATATTTATAAATTTACTTCATATAAAAGTTTTCTAATTGCTAACAATGCCAAACAAATGGCACATCTCAGATGGTCTAAGTGGTACAAAAACTCGCATTGGAGTGGTAGGTCTCGGTTTCGAGACCTGTCAAATGCTTTAATTTTGTTTTTCTAAGAAGAGAGAGACGGGGTATTTTTGTAAATTTACCAAAACACGGTGGCACTATCTGTAATTATGCAAAACACGGTGACCTTCTATATAAAACGATTCAATGAGCCAAAGAAAACCCTAGCCGCCTTTGGTTCCTTAACCTCTTCTTCTCTAGATCTAAAGAGTCATAAAGATCCAGATCTACTCTTTTCCCACTCTTCCTCCGCCATTTTCCTCTCCATCGGGTCTCTTCTCTTCTATTTTAATCAGATTTCCTCTCTCTCCTTTCGATCTGCCCTTTCGATCTACTCTATCTCTCTTCGCAATCTCCTCTAATCCCGACGTCGTCACGGCGACAGAAGAAACTCATGTCCGCCAAAGCTTCGAACGCAGCGACAATGGCGAAATTCACACGGCAACGGCGACAAGCGAAAGTCTCGATCTGCTTTTCCATTTGGTCTGGTAAGTTTTTTTTTATTTTCTGGCTTACTCTTAATGTTTTGATAATTTCATCTTTTGATTTTGGATTTTGGTCGTGGTATAGAGAAGTGCCGGAAGGAAGAAGCAGGCTGCTGGTGGTGGCTTTGAGTTTCGGTGACAGTGACAATACTTCACAATAATAATGCAAGCGGCAGAATCGGTGAGAATGTGTTTTTTTTTTTCCTTGGTTTTTTGTTTTCCTATAGATTCTGACTTGGTTCTTATTGCAGGTTTGGTATTAAAGAAGCTTGCTGCTATTCGCAAATCCATTGGTTAGAATTAGGGGGTTTTAGAATTTTGGTTACCTTGAATGAGATAAGGTTTTGGGGTTCACGAGATGACGATGTTATTTTGGACCAGAAAATAAATTGGGAGCAACTACAAAAATGATAAAAAAAATTGAATTATGATAAATATACTAAATTAAATAGTGAATTTTTCCAAAAAAAAAGTCACCGCTAAAGAGATTTCCACTTTCTGCGACGAATTTTGTTTGTCGCGAAACTAGCATTTCGGCGACGGAGGAGCTACTAACGTCGCCAATAATTGTTTTCGGCGACGGCATGTACGTCGCCAAAGCGTAGATCTTTCAGCGACGAAATGAGTTTTTTGCGACGAATCCTGTTTATTTCGTCGCAAAACTTTTTGCGACGCTGTATTGGCGACGAAAATAAGATTCTTTTTGCGACGACCAAAATCATCGCGGAAATCTTTCTGCGACGGATTTGAGGTTTTCTGCGACGAATTTTTTCGTCGCAAATAGTTAAGTTTCTTGTAGTGGGAGTTGTGGGAGGTGGTAGAGTATAAACTGGCCGGGGTATGTTGTTGGAGTTGTTGATTCCTCGTAGATCATAGTTGAGTGTAAAGGAGGTATGCCAAGTGGGTGTAAGTATGGGAGAAAGATTTCTACAAGATTGGCTTCTAAGAAAAGTGTTGATGCGTTGTCGAGCATCGTCTGTCAATTCAGGGTCTATATCAGAAATGCTAGAGATGGAGTTCCTAGCAAAAGAGATGTTAACAGTACCATCAAGATGTCGAGTAATTTGATTAACCTGACAATGGTCGATGCTTCTGGGAATGGTAGCTCCTTCAAGGGTCCATTCTGTAGGAAGAGTAACTTCTCCCCATTTGATAGTTTTGGGAGTAACAGTTTTAGTAAGAGTTAAATCAGTTTGCCAAAGTATAGTTTCTCCTTTTGTACCATATTGAAGAGCTTTAGAAGAGAAAGCATATTTCATAGCTTTATAGTGTAAACGGTAAACCAAAGAGATAGGTAAAGATCCTTGTTGGATTTTATAGTTGAAAGTTTTTATTTGTAGGGTTAAAACATCTAAAATATTTTTGTCATGAAGAGAGACAGTAAAGTTTGGAAAACAATTGAAGTAAATTGGGCCATTACAAAGACTTGATTCAACAGTTCCAAGTAAAGAGTCGTTAAACTAAAAAAACCGACAATCTCGTAAAACCATTAAAATAGCAGTATTAAGGCCTTCTTTGGATAGAGGCTTAATCCCTATTTGAACTAACCCAATATGGATATAGTTGTACTTCTTTTTGTGTTGTTGAATAGAATTTTGAGACAAAAGTTTGATAGTTTCATAATCATTGAAAAGATGAATATCTCTTTCTTCGATTTTGATGGTATAATCCATTTTATTGAGGAAGTTAAATTTGCTTTGCTCATAAATTTCCTTTTGGGCAATCCTAGAAATTTGCCAATTATCAATTTCTTTACTAACATTTTCAAAATTAATTTCTTCTTGGTTGATCACACGGTCCCCGGTGTTGTCAGAATTAGAGGAAGAAGAGGAAGGTATAAAAATCGAACTCATGACTAGAGGAAAGAAGGTAAACAAAGGTTGGATCGAACTTACAGGTGAGATAGATTAACGGCCAAAGACGGTCTTACAACTCTCTCACAAAGGACTCAGCTAGGATAATATATCTAACCATGGGGTACCCATCTCTCAACTAATAATAAGTAAAAAGATTTAGACAAACCATTTCCCCCCAGGCTTTACCAGTAAGGACGCTACGTTCCTTTTCTGCATTATTAATGACATAGAAAGCAGAACAACTCCAAGGGGATTGGCTAACAATCATGTATTCGTAAAACACCAACCAATAATAAGTAAAAAGAAAGCTTACCATGATGGTATGAACATACCAATATGGTAAGAAGGTTGAATACATGATAGTAGGAGCATACTAACTGTCATTTACGACTTTCATCATTGTTTACTACAAGTTACCACCCACATATGACATACCATAGTGGTGAAGTATGGTAATTTTTTGTCCAATATTTTTTTCAACCAGAAATTTGTAGATTCAATAGAAAAAGATGAATTCGTTCCTTCTGAGCAAGCGTTTTCAAAAACGACTTAAAACGAAGAAGTTACCATATGGTATGTAGTTGATAAAAAAAATTTCTCGAAATATATTGAAAATTGATCTCATTTTGTAGAGCACAATGAACTCGTTCCATTTGTGCAAAAAAAATTGAAATCCGAGTTAGAACGAAGAAGATAAGAGCTGATTATGAAAACTAGGAAAAATAAAATACTTTTAATTGACAATTCTTAGATCTGGATTTTCTAGAACCACTTAGATCTAAAGATTCAGATTTAGTTACTCATAGGTCAGTAATCAATAGTTACTGACCCTATCCTAAGCCCTAAAGTGTTTCCTGAATGAATAGCTTGCTTGATGCATAAGGATGACTGGATGAGGTTCGTTAAATCCATTTCAATTTATGTTGTTATTGTTGCCATTAGAATAGATGATACTGGTAAGAACCCTTAATAAATTAGAAAGACTCGTCGATGATTAAGTGAGTGAGTGAAGTATTGAAAAATATGGAGAGAGAAAAAAGATTGTATAGAGATAAATCCAACAAAATCTTAGATTATGTTTAATGTATGTACTAAGGCCTTTGCTTTATAAAATTTCTTATTAATCAATTGGTCTCAATAAGTCGAGTTAATAAGAGATGCTCAGTATATGGATCCAATATCATTTAATAATACATCTTCTCAAACGAAAGCCACATTGTATGGGATTTGAAGCTTAAACGGGTCTGAATATCACCTGTTTAACAAATCATGAGATTGGAGCACAAGACTTTCCGGTCATTCAAGGCTTTTATACAATGTCAAGAACTAATTGGTTTAATTACTCGACTTGTTGGAAGAGATGCATATATGGTACTTAACCATTTTCTTGCATGCCATCTCAGAAAGCCAAATCATGAGATTAAATCAACGACTTCCTTACATTCATCTCCATACGTATGCCTCTAGCTTTGATACGTTTAAATTAAACTAGGAATATGAGATGAAGCTTTTTTAATACACTTAACTTGGTAAAAAGGATAGTGCTAATGATTGAAGAACAAGGTAACTCAAACTTACTAATTAATGATTGATCAAGACCTACAATTTGATGCAGGGCATCATCAAAACATACTATTAGTCTCATTTGAGTGCCCTTTGCCATAAGCAAACCAGAGGCTAACTAAAATATTAAAAAAAAAAAAAAAGGACAAAGAAGTCTCCAGGAAATTAAAGATCCCTCAACTCAACTCATTTTGTTACCCAACAACAACTCAACCAATCTCTCCATATTCTGAAACGACGAACCACCAACCCTAGTCGCCTCCTCTGCCTTGTTTTTCCACTCCATAGCCCTCCTCTTCATTTCCTTCCCCTTGTCCCCGCCCATCAACTCCCTCACCAACCCTTCCACTTCCTCCCTCCTCACCTCCGGATCCACCTCCATCCCGACTCCCCACTCGTTGCAGGCATAGAAGCAAGTGGTCAGCTGCTCCGAGAAGAAGGGCCAGCACAACATCGGCACACCGTACGACAAGCTCTCCACCGTCGAGTTCCAACCCATGTGGCTCAAGAACCCACCAACTGCACCATGGCTCAGGATCTCCTCCTGACAGCACCACCCCGCCACCATCCCTCTGTCCTTTGTCTCCTCCACGAACTCCAACGGCAGATCATCATCGGACCCAACAAGGTCGGGCCGAATCACCCACAAGAAGGGCTTTCCACTTCTTGCAAGCCCCCACGCGAACTCGCTCAATTGTTGTGGTGTCATCACGGTGATGCTCCCGAAGTTGACGTACAAAACGGAGTTGGGGTCTTGGGAGTCCAGCCATTGGATGCACTCGGTGTCCTCGGTCCATAGATTTGTGTTGACTTCCTTCAACTCGTCGTGCCCTTTGATCTGGTTGAGGAGCAAGTTGAGAGGCCCGATGGTGAGAATGTTTGGGGAGATCACTGTGGAGAGAGCGGCGAGAATTTGTTGGTCTAGAGCGTCGAACGTGTTGAGAAGGAGGGCGGATCCCTCGGGCACTCGCGAGACCTCTCTCTGGATGTAGTTGAACATGACGTCGTTAGGGTTGGTGGTTCGGACGAAGGAAGGGAGATGTTTCATGCGGATGTTCTTGCTCAGTCCTGGAATGAAGTCGATGGATGTTTCGTCCAGATACCCGTTGGTCAAGTAACTCGAATCTGTAAAAAAGAAACAACTCGCGTGTGCATACGCGTGCGTTAGGGTAAAGCTATAATAGAAGACAAGTAACGTGACGCACGAGGGGACGATGTTTTTTTAACCTTTGAGAGGGACCAAGCCTTTCTCTGCAAGCAGGTGGAAATGGGCGTGGGTCAAGATCCCACACGCGCTGGGCGTCAAGAAGAGCGCGTCGGGGATCCCGAGCTCCTTAGCCACATCGAGAGTGAAGCTCATCGAACCATCCGACACGATGCAACTGACGCCGTTTAGCCTCAAAACCAGGTCTCGAAACGGCGCCAAGCAGTGCTTGGAGGTAGAGTCGCACAGAGAAGGGATGTCCTGGGTGGCATCCACGGCGCCGTCGTCATCGGTTGGCGGATGGAGGCCGTCTGGGATCGTCTGGAAGTTGAAGCCCGGCGGGAGGGAATGGAAGAGACCAGATGCCGCTGCGCCGCCGCGTCGGGACTTGAGGAGGCGGCGGTGGTTGTACTCGGTGTTGACGAAGGTGATGTGGAAGCCGCGGGAGTAGAGGAGTTTGGCGAGTTTAAGCATGGGGTTTATGTGGCCTTGTGCTGGGTAAGGGATGCAGACGGCGTGAGGGGTTTGGGAACTCATCACTGTGTCTTTCTCTGCTTCTCTCTCGGCAGTGAGGGATGAGGTGAGGTGTACCAAGCCAAAGTCCAACTAGTTGGATTGTAAGATATGGAGGCTTGGACTCTCATGAATCGTACGTTAAATTCTCTATTTTGTTTCTTGTTCTCTC